CTAGGAAAATTCATCTTGGCCAGAAAACCAGCTATAGACCTCATCTATTTGGTTTCTTTGCAACTTCGATCGATCAGTTTCCTCTTTATCAGCTGACAGAGCTTTTCCACCGGAAAATATGTGGTACTGTTGCTATTTAACCCGGGATACAACATCAAACCAGGATACCGGACAGCTTAGAGAGCTTGATGAACAAAACCGAGCATGAGTCCCGAGAAACACTAATATGGAGACACACGGTTCACGTGTAATGATAATAAAAATACAAAAAGGGACCAGTCGATTCCATGTTAATCGTCCGGGGAAGAGGCCAATCGTTTGATATATTCACGGACCAAAGAATCAAAATATTTGTTGTGGTTAGGAAGAAGTTGAAAGCGGTAGTTTTTTAAAGTATTTTGTATTTTAAAATATATTAAAATAATATTTTTTTATTTTTTAAAAATTATTTTTCATATCAATATTAAAATTATCTAAAAATATTAAAAAAATTAATTTAAAATAAAAATATAAAAAATATTTTTTTTTAAATTTTTTTCAAAAACATTTCTATAACACAATACCAAACTTAATCCCCCGCCGCTAACGACTACGGGAAAAAACTGAAATCCTTGAGCCTCCCAAAAGGATAGGGCTTTTCCCTATTCTTTTTAGACTATAGACCAAAGGAAAATATTCAAAGATCATGCTGAGCAGATTAGTACATTTTTAGCTCTACTTTATCAGTAAGAAACTTCCTCGCTTTATCAATAAAATAACTTGCAGGTGATTGTTAGGTGTATTGGTATTGAGTTTCAACCAGTTTTTATTATTTTTTAAAAATATTTGCTTTAAATTAAAATTTTAAAATATTTTGATATTTTTATTATTTAAATGTGCTAATATAAAAAATAAAATAATATTGTTTTAATATATTTAAAAAAATATTTTAAAAGATAACAGCCATCACACTTTCAAATATTCTCTTAGTGTATTTTTGTTATTGTAATATAGTATACTATACAATTAAATACATTAAATAATTTTTTTTTATTTTAAAATCATTCAAAAACTTTTTAAAAAATATTGATTTGATATTTTTTTAATAAAAATTAATTTGATAAGCATATTGTAATATAAAAATAAACACTCTAGGAAAACAAAATCATGTAAGTTGAATTTCAGGCCAAGTAGTGAAAGAAAAATAAAAATTCAAGGTGTTCATCGGACGCAAATGTCCCAGAGCATATTTGTTATTCCGGTAACAATTATTTTGAATTCTTGACAGATATTATTTTGATTGCAACACACAGACGCAATTGTCTTTGCATGCTTGCCAATCCAACCAGCCACACGCGCACATGTGCGAGCGAATATATTGACCAACTGATTTATTTTTTATTAATTTATTGTGGATTCTATTGTTTGAATAATTTGACATTATATTTTATGTCAGAGAGAAATAAAAACAATGGATTTATCGGTGTCTTTGATTCGCAGAAGACACACTTTACAAGGATATTGACGTCAACAAGTGTCCCCTGGTTTTTTTAAAAACAAGCAAAGCGCCATCGCTTGCTTTCCAAACTTCGCCTGGCAATCCTTGTTGCAGCCATCTGGCTGGCAACCACCTCCGTGCAATGGTTTCTTGCGGTGGCATTCACCAACATTTGTTCATTGCATATATATATATATATATATATATATATAACACATAATAATGTTAATATTTTTAATTTACATATTCAACTAGCCTTGAACAGGGGCCCCATCCCTTCTCCGAGAAAAAAAGAAAGCTCTCTCTAGCCTTGAAACATCACGAAAACATCACAAGGAAAGCAACTCACAAGCCACAAAACAGACTACAAGCCCCTACAAAACGAAGCCAGAAACGATCTGGTTTTCGAAGAGGAAAGTGGTTCTTGAATTGTTTGTCGTCAAAAACGATCTGGTTTTATTCACCTGGGTTGTATGGATGGGTGCTATTACTTATTAGGGAAACCATTTGTTGCGTTGCTGGGAATTTATTTTTGAATTTAAAAACACACATAAAAAATAAGTTGAAATTAAAAAATCAATTTTTTTTATAAATACGGTCTACCGGAATGCTAAACAAGGCAAAATGGACGAAGCTTGTTCATTTTCTGTAAATATAGTGGTGCAGTAGTCTACCTGAGCATCTAGCGAGTGCTTGAAGCTGATGTGTCTAGTTAACGAAGTTTATGGCTGAGTTTTATGGTATGCAAAGGCGGTAGTCGCTAATCATAGTAAAAAGTCATGGCCTGTAATTTATGGTCAGGCTGCCTGAGATTTGGATGCATATCGTGTCCTGTTTTGTTTGTGTACGAGCCTGGTGTTTGAACATTTTCATTTTTTCTTCTGGGCCACCAGAGGTTGCTTCACTTTCGCTATCTGTTTTGCCATTTTGGTGGGTGGGTTTATCTTTTCATCACTCTGGCTCGGTCTCGAGGAGCAGTACAGGTTTTGAGAAAAGATGCTTCTGTAGAAGTGTGTTTGCTTAGCTTCTAGATCAGGCTTGAATCTGCTGCTTTAGGCATTTGTTGCTGTCCCTTTTCTGATGAATAATGTTTTTTGCACTGCTAAAAGATTTTGCAATTGATGTTTTGGTTTGAACTAGTTCATTAAATCCATATACCAAAGACAAAAATGACTGTGTGGCTGCTATAAATTAAAAATTCAAATTTTAATTAAAAAAACATGTTGAAATTCGCTCCAAACACCCCCAAACAAATGTGCTGATGTAACTAATGACAATTTTCTTATAGGTTTAGCATTTTTCATGAACATTAACTGCAGTTGCAAAGTGTTACTACTAAAAATTACAAGATGCCAGCCATCATTCAAGTATGCAGAGTAACTTGTGAAACAGACAGGATGCTCATTGCAATTTGCTAGAAATAGAGGTCCTTTTATATATAACTTTCCCAATGATTTGAATTTTCTGATGGATATGAGAAATTCTTCAGTTTAGACGAGGTTAAAATTACATGGATTGCCAAGCCTGCAGTTGTGAAACTAGTGAAAAAAGAGACAGAGAGTCATGCACATGCAGGCATTTGACTCTCCCAGCGCTTTGACAATACCTCTTCCTTCTGGATGTTTTCACAATCTTATTGGACAACATGATACATCTCAACAGATGTTCTATTATTCTTGAGCGAGCTACAAGTGGATGATCAGAAGCCAAAATTTTGTTTGGAATAATTCTCTCTCCTCTCTCTCTCTCCCCCCTGACGATTTGGTAGCTCAATTATTTCAAGGGCAAAAATATTCACACTGCCGTATTAATTTGCATTGATGTTTACAAGTATTTCGCATATCTTTCGTGCACATGCGATTTTTATTGATTTAGGATCTGTGTGTGTTCTTCAGCTATACAATGTCCTGCGCAAAGAAATATGGTATCATCGGCCAGACATGTTCTCTTTCAGGGACATGGTTATATATGATGCTCGCAAGAGACAAGTAGGTAGATGAAGCAGAGCAGGTCTGGCAAGATTTGAAGAGAGAGGAAGTTTTGTTAGATCAGCATACCCTTGGGGACATAAGGGCCTTCTTGGATAATGGATTGCCCTCAGATCGAGGCGATGGACATATACGAGGAAACGAGACAATCGCCTGCCGACCCACCAATATCTTTGCCTTTTCATGTGATCTTGAAAGGGATGATTCCATTCCCAGAACTAAGAGATCAGGTAAAAGACGACTTCCTGAAGCTTTTTCCTGGCATGATTGTGTATAACCTAGCCGAAGACTTGTTTGAAAATCAAGATAGTGAAGATGACTAAGGACGGAGTGATCCAGCTCTATGATCTGCTTCACAAGGAATGGTGACTTAATCATCTGCAACAGCTAGAAAAGGTGGATGCCTAGATCGAGAATTGTAGATGAATTAATCATGGCAGAACTCGTTCAAGTTTCTTTTACAGCCATTGGTTGCCCTTCAAGTTAATTTAGAGGGTGTTTCATGCGGTGGTTGAGCTGTAATTTTATAAAATTTTAATTATTTTTTTAATTTTTTGAAAAGCAACATCGTTGGAAACACCCAACATTCACCCGCAGGTAATACCTCCTCCACCAGACTACGACAAATGTAGCTATTATATTTAATTATTTATTTATACCACTCTCTCCTTCCTTGGTGTTTCCCCCCTTTTCAAGTGATTGATTGGTTGATTGATTGGTTCTGTCTCTTTCTCCCCTCTTCAATTCTATTTGTAAAGATTCAGGTACAGTGAGGGACTTATTTTCTTTTTTTAGTTCGAATCTTACTATACATGTGTGTTATCTCCACAGTGTTTTATCTGTTCACTGAATTTATAGAATATTTAATAGGTCATAAAGATTAGTCATGATACGCGTAAGCTGACCCGAACATCTCACGTTAATAAAAAAAAAATTCATTTCAGAGAAGACAAACAAGACGATCACAGATCAGTGCGTCAATATCCGAGAACTTCGAACTCTCAACCGCCGGAGTAACCGTTACCGTCGTTTTTTAGCGGTGAAAGAGCGTTCCCTTTATTCCATTGAATCAAACGTGTCAAGGCATGATCAAGGAGAAAATCTGAAAAGGGACATTTATTGTTTTAGAAATTAATGAACAGTGCTGACATACATTGCATGTATGAGATCTAAATAAAATAAAATAATATTTTTATTTTCTCTGATTTTCATGTGCATGTGTTGTTTGTGATACAAGCCAATTATATGACTATAATTAGATACAACTCAAGTGCAAAACAACCGCCTACAAGCCAATTATTTTCTCCATGACTTCTATCGTTTTAAAAGGGTGCACAAGTATTTTTAAATATTTTTTTATTTAAAAATATATTAAAATAATATAGATATTTTTTTAAAAAATATATTTAATATCGTCAAATTAAAAAAAATCTTAAAATTTTACCCCAACGGCAAAACTACCCAATCCACACCAAACATGTGCTGAATCATTCTGGAATTGACCTCCGCTTTGTCATCGCAAACGATAAATGGCTCCCTCTTTCAATTATTATTTTTGTTAAATATTCTCCTCTCTTAAAAGCATCCTCTCTCGCTGAGCAATATATAAACACCAAACCTTTCTCATTTCCCCCATCTCTCTCTCCCTCCCTCCAAATTTTCGCTGCTGTCTTCTATTTCTCGACCCACAGAATCCTTATTTAAAATCATAATGACGTCATGTTTCCGGCGGTTAACAACGGGGCCCACGCCACCAAGCGGACCGGCACAATCAAGGAACCGAAGTACGGCAGATATTCTCTCTCTACCTCTAAAACGAATTTCCATAGACCAACAGCCAGGAATTGTCCTGAGATCATCAAGGCAGTACTCCAGATCATTCATGATCGAGGCAGTTGGACCAGGGGACCGATCGGGGGGTGGAAATGAAGCTGAAAAGGCGGGGCCATGCTCGTGCTTGGTGGGAGATCAGACTGTGGGAGGCGTGGTAGAGAGTATAGATCGGACGGTTGAGATTAATGGAAAGAGGACAATAAGCGGGAGTGATAGCAGGAGTAAGGAGGACCGAACGGTAGAGGTGGCGGTTGCAGCGGCGGTTACGGTAGTGTTGGGGGTAGGGAATCGGGTGCTGTATAAGCTGGCTCTACTTCCTCTCAAGCATTACCCCTTCTTTCTAGCTCAGCTCGCTACTTTCGGGTAATTGATTTTTTTTCTGCTAACTGTCTATTTATTCCATTTTTTTTTTCATTTTCAGTGCCGAGTCTTCAAATACTTTCTTTTATAATTTTTTTCAATAATAATGCACGTCCAGATTGCATATTTAGCAAAATAAAAAAGTATTTTTCTTAAATAGCACAAGAGAATTAATATTTGGAAGTGAAATAAACATTTAAGAAGCTGGGGGAATGGATCCGAAATTAAATTGGGGGCTTTTATAATTATTACAAGTGTCACAGACTGAGTCCCAGTCGTAATGTCTTACACATGTACACTTGTCCTTTACCACTGAGCAATAAGACGACAAGTTCAATTCAATATTTTGCTTCATTTGCGTGTGGTTTCTGTCTATGTATTTTGACCCTTTTTCACCGACCCTTCATTTTTTTTACTATCCTTTTCCTTGGATAGATAACCTCAAATTATTGTGTGGTTCCAGAATTCAATTACTTCATTTCAAGTCACTTTCGCAGGAAAAGGAATGAACTACGTTTTACTCTTGGTTTTTTTAATAACTTCATGAATTTAAGAGCAAAACTTAGAATTAATAATTTACAAGACGTGTTCATGAATGTGGACCGTGGGGATAGCAACATCGTTATAGGACATTATAATTATTTTTGTTGACCATTTAGGGAGTGTTAATTTATGGGTGGGGCATTTGAATTTTCTCGCCGTATTTTTGAGGGGTGGGTTTGAAAGGGAAGGGAAGGGAGTACAACTTTCGAGACAACCAATCATATTGAGAGATTCGCTATGATAGTAATTTATTTTGATTATTTTACAAGCTGGGTGTTGTACACGGGATCACTTGCTGGATTTTATATTCAATTTGGACTTGTTTGAATAATTTTCATATTATCTTATAAATGTTGTCAAAGCTGTATTTTAAAGTATTTTATTTTTGCATATATTTACTTTTATCAACAGCATATCATTGGTCATAAGCTAGCCTCCTTGATTTCTTTCATTAATAAAGTAAAAACTTAATAATAAAGGATATATTAGTAATTATGAAATTAAACTTCCCATCCCCCAACCAAACAAGAATGAAGTTCATAACCTTTTCTTTTACAAATAAGTTCACCACTTTCATTTTCCCTCATTTATATCTAATTAAGGGGACGGTTCATCTTCCATCTTTACCTTTCCTTATCCTTTCTTACCCTTCTCGCACGCAAACCAAACATAATGTACCAGCCTCCTCTTTTCGTCTTTTTCTTCCCACAATTTTTCTGACCATCGAGGCCTACTAATAAATAAGTCATAAATTTTCAAGGTTTTTTTGCTAATTTTCATTAATGGAGACTAGATCTTTCATATTTTTGACTCTTGTGTGCGATAATACTGGATGCCCAACCTTCTGAACCAAATAAGAATATTCCCGGTTGAAAGAATGATCGAGCTTTATAATAGTGTAAAAAGCTGTGCTACGTCAAAAATCTGAAGATGCTGGAGGCTTTATTTGTCTTCTGCACCTTTTGAATGTGGTCGTGACAATCATGCTTTAATGGAGAATTGGGAACTCTCTTCTCTTTCTGTGAAAATTATTGCTGCTTTATTATATAATAAATAATTAAAAAGAAAAAAGAAAACGAGACTTTAGGAATCTTGGAGATATTCTCAGAGCTGCAAAAAGAAAGAAAAAATGGGTTTGTGCACGTAATTGTGCCTTGTGGGTCCAATGCGAATGAGAGCCTTACATAATATTAGAAAACGTTTGTTCATCGCCACATAGATTTCCATGACAGAAAGAAAGCAAAAGCTATCATCATTCATCACCGGCAATTTCTTTCTTCTTCCACAGCTCCATTAGACGCCATCATGTCAAGGGGGCACTTTGACACCATTGGGTGGGCCATGTGATCTTCTAATTTCATAGTCTAATCCCGCTCCCTTAGCTTTTGGTTTGTGGTCCGGAAACAACTTTTGCATTTCACTTCATATTTGTCAAATTGCACTTGTGCCCTTCACTTCTTTGAAAGTCACGCTAACCCTCCTGACGGGACCCTTTTCTTTTGGGTTTTTTTTGGTCCTTTAACTAATGGGCTTGATAATTTCAGGGTCCCATTAAAATTTAGTGGTTTATTCAACCAAAAGGAAAACAGAAAAAAAGGAAGGGATTGATATTTGTTGGTTTATCAATTATCAACCACAATCATAACAAAAAAAAAAAAAGGAAAAAAGAAAGAAAACATTCCACATTCCATCATCAAACTTCATTGATACGTACCTTGGCAATTAGTAACCAAAACTATGGGGTTCTCACTGTTAAAATGTGGAGCATGCGTCTTCTTGTTTCCTAGAATTTTAGACATGGCGTAGAAATTAACGATTGATTGTGGATCCCTGGCTTAATTAGATAAATGTTTCAAGAATTTTGCATAGATGAGTGATAATTTACTAAGAAATGTATGAGTTTGTCCATGAAGGTTTAAAGAAAAACATATTTCAGAATGTACAACGTGATTTTCTTAATTATTCCTGAAGTTCCTAATGCTAATAATGAAGCATTATTAATTATGATGTACATTTTCTCCCGTTTTGAATTTTTCCAATCTCCATTTCTTATGATTGATTCACAAATCAAAACTAAATTTAGGAGCTTTCAGTAAAGAAGTCAGGAGCATTTAGATGTAATTAATGACATTGCTCTCAGGGGTGATTAAATTTTTTGTGCCTCCAAAAATTCAGGATGAACTCAAATGGATCTTATTTTGTTCAATATTTTTCTTTTTCCTTTTTCTTTCAGATATGTTATTGTATACTTCACCATCTTGCATATTCGGCACCGTGCCGGCATCGTTACAGATGAGATGCTTTCTATGCCAAAAGCTCCGTATATTCTTGTTGGACTCTTAGAAGCTCTTGGAGCTGCAACTGGAATGGCAGCTGGAGGTATTATGTCTCATTATTATCTGATGATTTTTCACCTCATTGTGATACTGTGATGCTTCCAATATAAATTTTATGGTTTAAATTTGAATTTTTCTATAAAATTTGTCCTCCTAAACTGTGGCGCGGCATCCCTCATAAAAAAATTGATGTACTAGTAGACAACAATGACAACTAAGCCTCAGTCCCAAATTAGCCGGGGTTAGCTATATAGATCCTTTTATGCTATTCAGCTGAATCACTAATCTGCACCTACTAGCATACCATTTTGATTTTTGTAATTTCAGACCTGTTTTAGCCTAATTCTTACACTTTGTTCATTTAAAGGAATCAGCGAATGCACACTGCATATTTGAAATAATACAAGTATAACACCCTATTCCACAAGCAAGATATTGTTCGCTTTGGCTCTTGGGCCTTACAGACTTGTTCTTGGCGGCCATGTATGGTCCCAAAACGTGTTCAATTAGTTACAATACACCTCCTTTAAGGAGTCTAATAACCCCGTTGGCACCATCGAACAGCCAGTGAGCCAGGGTTTAATACTAAATATAACACCCCACCCCACTAACAAGATATTGTCCGTTTTGGCCCATGGGCCTCACAGATTTGTTCTTAGCAGCCGCGCATGACCTCAAAAAGTGTTTGACTAGTCAAGGTAAGCATGCTCATCTAAAACCCTCTCTCAAATCTTCACCCGCCGTTCAGCTGAATCACTAATCTGCACCTACTAGCATACCATTTTGATTTTTGTAATTTCAGACCTGTTTTAGCCTAATTCTTACACTTTGTTCATTTAAAGGAATCAGCGAATGCACACTGCATATTTAAAATAATACAAGTATAACACCCCATTCCACAAGCAAGATATTGTTCGCTTTGGCTCTTGGGCCTTACGGACTTGTTCTTGGCGGCCATGTATGGTCCCAAAACGTGTTCAATTAGTTACAATACACCTCCTTTAAGGAGTCTAATAACCCCGTTGGCACCATCGAACAGCCAGTGAGCCAGGGTTTAATACTAAATATAACACCCCACCCCACTAACAAGATATTGTCCGTTTTGGCCCATGGGCCTCACAGATTTGTTCTTAGCAGCCGTGCATGACCTTAAAAAGTATTTGACTAGTCAAGGTGAGCATGCTCATCTAAAGCCCTCCCTCAAATCTTCACCCGCCAAACTATAAAAATATATTGAAAAAACCTGCATATATAAAAATTTTAATAAAAATAAAAATATTTGATTCGTGACAAAAAACGGATCATATAAATAGTATTTTATTATAGGTTTTAGAAAATTCTCTGTTTATTAACACAATGAATTGTTAATTGTCTTTTTATTTTTTATTTTTATATTCAAAACAATTGCAGAACTTATATGATAAAATTGTTTTTTCTATATGATCCAATAATCATATGTAAATTAATTAGGAAGAACTTAGTTAGTTTACTTTTTTTATAGTAAAATTAGATTATTATCCTTGTGAAAAAAAAAAGCCTTTAAGTCCAAGTGTATTTTTATCATTTTATTTTCTTTGTTTAAGTCCAAGGGTATTTTTATCATTTTATTTTCTTTGTATCATAAAATGACATAAATACCCTTAAAAGTTGCAAAATACTAAACTTGCATCAAAGGGGTTTTTTAGTCTTTTTATATTTATATACAATGAAATGATAAGTTTAACCTTGATTTCCAAAATCATTGGTTTGCAAGGTGTTTTTATCTTTTTCATAAGTTTTTTTTTGGTAGTATTCAAATGCATTTAAGGGTTGTTTAGTAATTTAATATTTTAAGATATTATTAAATAAATAAAAGATACAATGCGTGATCGTCATCCATGCCATTCTAGAAGCGAGTGGAGAAGCATCCCATGGCAAAAAAAAAAATCTAGTTAATTATTGTGTCATCCAACATGTCTGGTGGTGGCATAGTGGGATGACACATGTGGTCTAATTTATAGCGGTTTAACGATGATGAATTTATTTTTTCCTCCCATTATATTCTCTCTCTTAGACCTTGGTATTCACGCCTAGCCTTAAAAAATTCAATTATATCGTCTAGTTTGTATTTCTTTCAAATTCACTACTCGTTCTTTTGATTTTTATTAGTTTTGATTTTAATGATTTTTGAAGTTTATTGTTTTATATAACTTTCACCCTCAACAATTTATTTCATTTAATTTTTATATCCAATTTGTTCATCATTTTTTTATTGTTTTTTTTTTTTTTTTTTGCTGGGAGGGGGGGCGGGGGGTTGTAAAATTTCAACATGGCATCAATGTTTTCAAACTCAATTTCATTTTCAGTAATGGCAACAGAAAACTGATTCAGTTGCTATCTTAAGAAGAGATGATCATTATCATAGGTGATTAGAAGCTGCCAAATTATCTTGTAAGCATGGAAATGAAATTGGATAAGTAACTACTTCTGCCTCTTTTAGTACCTTGTCTTTTAGATCTTGATGTTATATAAAGACAATGTTGTTCCATCAATTGCAGGGGGGTTCTGTAGATCTGTTTGTAATAAACTCCTATGGATCTGCTTTCCAAGTAGGTACTCAGCTATGATTTAAAATCCTCAGTTCTTGCTATCACTTAAACAGTTGTCTTTTGATTGCAGCATGAGTGTAAGTCTAAATTTTTTGTGTCTACATGTTCTGTAGGCACTGTTTGTATGCCTTCTTCTACCATTTATGTCGAAATTATGGGGTATACCATTTAGTCAGCTTCCAAACTATCTTAAAGACGGGGCAGTTTGCTTTCTAAACATTGGCAGTTTATCTAGTGGTAAGCTATGATTTATTAATACACCATCTTATAGATTAATTTTGTTTCAATGTTTGTCACAGCTAAAGTCAGTATAATGTGTCATAAACCTGGATAAATGGAACTTAATTGGATGCATTTAATCATGTTTGAGAGATTATTGAGAGGAATTAAAGCTGCATTGTATTATCTGTATCAAGAATTAGTTTCTTCATGTTCTATCTCAATTATAACATTGTTTTGAATGATTTGAACAATTGAGGTTACTTTACTGCCTTGGTTATTTATGTAAATGTATTTATTGAAACTATGATGTTTATCTGTGTGATGTATTTTAATTCTCTCTCTTATGTGATTGCCACTCAAGCAATTACTTTTTATATCTCGGGATTTGGTGTAGTATCGGGTAGAATGATGCAAAAGGGTCTGTACAGCTGACCCCAACTAGTTTAGGATTTAGGCTTTGTTGTTGTTGTATTAGAGGTGAAAATTTAAAATATAGTTAAACATGCATGTGAGGATAGAATGTAAATACAATTGTAAAAACTCGTTGAATTTATTTTATACATATTATAAAAGGCATCCTCTTAAATTTATGTTCATATAGCTGATGCTAAATGGTTAACTTATACATTGCAGACTTTTGCTTTCTGTTAATTGGAATGTGATATAATGCTACACCTCATCTCAATCTCTCACTTTCATGCATGGAAGGGCTCATTTCTACAGTTCCGTAACAAGCATAAGAGATTTATTTTTGTAAAATATAGAGAAGAGCATAGCATTGTGACATGAATGAAGTTTGAAATTGGGCAAGCTTTTATAATCTTCCTTTTTCGTAATGGTACAGTTATAGTCTAATGCTATGATGATGTAACATTTTATTTCTTTTAAACTTGGTTGTCCACAGGATGTGATGGTGCACCTCTGCTTCCTTTGTTGTTTGTGATTGTCAACATGGGGTTTAACATCTCATTACTGCATCTCCTCAAGATCTCTTCTGCTGTTGTGTCTTGCCTTGCTTCCACCTTTTCTGGTATTTTTCTCTCTGTTTTCTTTCCTAATCAGAGTAGCTGCAACTTTCAATAGCCTAATCCAAAAGTTTGCAAGCCTATTAGTCACCGAACCCAAGAAAAAGGACCATAGTTGCATTTGGATCCCATGTTAGATGTAATTTGATGGGATTATTGCCCTTTTTTTCTTTTGGAGAATTTGGAAGGGGCGACAAACTTTTCACATCAAAGCCCTCAGCTTGAGCCATTATGATATGCAGTGTGAATGGTTGGAAACTGTGCAACATGTGTTCCGTTAGCCAATCATACATCATTTTGGGCTTAATTGTTTTCCTCGAATGACCGAACGTGGCCATTAATGATACCACTTTCTGTTCTAGAAAAGTTATAGGATCGTTGAGGACCTGTTTGGTATTACCAACTGTTTTTGCTTTTCGAAAACAAAAAAACTGTTTCATATCTCATCACGAATCACTAGTTAGTCTATTAAAGGAAATGAACATCCACTTTTACTGTTCACAGGGACACTCTTTGTAAGGACTACGGATACCACCTATCTCCATATTGGTATGATATTATCCACTTTGGGCCTAAGCCCTCATGGATTTGCTCTTGAGTTATATCCAAAAAGCCTCATACCAATGGAGATATTTGTCCATCTTTATATACCCTTGATCCTCCCCATTTCTAACCAATGTGGGACTTTGGTCGCATACCCAACAATCCTTCCCTCGAACAAAGGACCAC